CCCCTCCCTCCCGCGCCGCCTTTATAGGCCCCTGCCGCAACCGCGCCGCCGCAGCCCTAGCGCCCGATTGGGCGCGCGTTTGGTACGCACGGCGTCGGTGACACGTGTCGGGGGACGGGAGGGAGCCGCCGCCGCCACCCGCGCCCTGCGCCTACCCAGGTGGGGCGGTCTGCACGGGACCCGCCTCCGGGGCTGGAGGCCGAAGGCAGGCAGTCTTGCGCCGGAGGGGAGCCGAGGGAGCTGCCAACCTCCAGGAGGAGCCGGGAGACGGAGGGCGGACTCGAGGGCGTGACCGTGACGCCCTGCTAACGACCGTCGCCTCCCCGGGCAGGCTCCACTGCCAAATCTCCCGGAATTTGCAACCCCGGAGCTGACACCCCTAGGCCAACACCTCCAAGCCAGCTCGACAGACGTGGAGGAGGGGGGGGCCTCCCGCTTGCCCCTTCGTCTGAGGATGCCAACTGGCGGGAGAAAAAATGGCCCGCCCCTTGAAGGAGACGCCGTTCACCTCCCGGGCCTGAACAGCACCAAGCCCCCGTCGAGCCTTTGTTAAGAGGGACGGGGCGTTTTCCCAAGGTCAGCTGGCAACCCTTGGCGCAGCCCTTGCCTGCCCCGTTGCTGCCGCCGCCGAATCAGCTTCAGCGACCGCGGCTGTTGCGTGTTTGTGAGTGCGTGGGAACGCATGCGGGAGACGAATCCGGGGCATCGGCCTCGTGCGTCTCCTCTGTCTCTACCCAGCAGCCCCCCCCTCACTCGCTCGCACGTGGTGAATTTCCCGGCAGCCGCTTCCAGACCAACCACGTGGGCGGCGGAAAGGGGGGAGCTTCATTCAGGCGCTGCTCACTTCATCAGATACAGCTGGAAGGGGAGTCCATCGGCCCTTCTATCGCGTTCTGGCTGCATCCTCCGCAGAAGGCCGCAGCGACTCAGGGAAGCTCCTCCCCGCCCGGCGCCCCCCCCCAATCTGGTTAGTCTTGAGACGGCCCCTCTTCTGCTCCAGACAGACTCACAGACGCGCCAATGCCCCCTCCAAGCTGTGGAGTCCTGTGTGCAAAAATCCTGCTCTGTGAGCTGCTGGCATTAAAGCTGTGAGCGAGCAGTTTGGCTCCTGCATCAATTAGTTTGCTCTTCTGGAGCCCTCCTTCCTGAGCCGAGACAAAAATGTGTGAGCCGGAGGCTAAAAAACTGGGAGTCAACAGCTCACACGAAGTCTCTAAGGGGACACTGCACGCGGCGGCGACCCTTCTTCCTCGGTCTCCGCGGAGGGCGGCTGGATTTGAAGCGTGCCTGTACAACGGGGAGGGGGGGGGGCTCTTCCTTGAATACAACAAGAGAGTTCCCCCCCCTCCAAAAAACCCCAGCACGTCTGGATGGTCGTCCAAAAACAAATCCGCACGGGGCAGATGAATTCATCCGGATGGACAGGAACCCCCCCCCCCCTTATAGGGGGTGGTGACAGGACGCGGGTCCACAGAGCCCTCTCCGAAAGCAGAGGCTCCTTGGCGGCGTCCCCCCCATCTCTTTGCCAGTTCCCCTAGCAGGCTTGGCCACACTGCAGGGCGCCAGAGCAGGGGAGGGGCCAGAATGCGCGTTTGCAAAGGCCGCGCAACTCCCGGGGCCGGGCTTCCGAGGATGCGCGACACTGGGGGCCTTCGGTGCCCCCCGTGTGCGGTCTGACCCCCCCCCCCCAGCACATTTCCCAGCGGGGGTGACCTCTGTTTGGAGTCGGAGGTTTGGGGATGGAGCCTGGGCAGAGGGGAGTTTGGGGTGGGGGCGGGCTAAGCAGCCATTCTCTCCGGGGGAACGCGCCTTCCTCATCTGGAGAGCAGCTGTCACAGCAGGAGATCTCCAGGTGCCACCTGGAGGTTGGCAAAGAGTTCGGAGAGTCAGCGCACCCTCGTGAGAGGCGGGCAGCCCTGAGCTCTTGGACGGGGACTCAGAGAGAGAGTAGTCTACCACGTCGCCAGCTTCCCGGTCCTTTTTAACTGGAGATGCCCGGGATCGAACCAGGGACCTTCTGCTGGCCGGGCAGCAGCCCCTCCCCCAGAGACGGCGGCACCGGCCGCGCCAGACCTCACCACGTGGCCGCCGCCCGCTGCCTGGAAACGTCGCCCTTGCCCGTAAAGAGTGGCCGTAAAAGTCTTTCCCGGGCAATGCGTCTCCCTCGCCGTCGACCCGCCTCCGAAATCTTCTCCCGCTGTGGGTTAAGGACCCCCCCCCCGCACCCCAGCTGGGTGGCTCCTGCGGTCCTACAAGCAAAAGGTCTCCCTTCTCTTAGCCCCCGCGCGCCCCCCCCAATGGTCAGTCGGTGGTTGGCTGCTTCTGAATTTGGGGGTCCCATTCAGTGAGGGATTGAAAGATTTATTTTTTTTTAAAGCACCATTTGAAGCCATTTCAGCTGGAGACCACCAGTCACCACCACCTCCCGGTGGCCGGCCGTGAATCCCCGGAGTGGAGTGGAGGGTGATGAAGCCCTCCTTTTCAGGGGGAGGCTGCCGACGGCAGTCTGTTTCCTGGGGTAGAGTAGAAACACCACCACCCCCCGTCCATTTCCCAGTCATGTGGTCTTTGGATTTGAGGCAGGTGGCTTGGGGGGGGGGGCTGTGTGTGGATGGCCAGAAAAGCAACGCCCACGCTGGAATTCTGTGGCCCTGGGGGAAGGCCAGAAGAGGCCCTCCGCCACCTCCTGGGGTAACTGAGGGATCCTCGGGGGGTGGCGGAGGCTTGATTGGGGGGGGGGGGGGGGGGGGGGGGAGCCTGCCTGGAGAGGCAGCAGCCAGGAGAAACACCAAGGGCGGGCAAAGGGCACAGAATTATTTACACCAAACCTTCAGCCCCCGAGAAGTCCTGTCTCCACAAGGTGTCTCTCCCCCCCCCCATGTGTCTTTGGCTTGTCCTTTGAACACCTAGAAAATCCTAGCACAAACAACACCCTGGATGGGGCCCTTCCTCCCCCAGCTCTCCTGATGTGCCCCCACCACCACCACCAGGGCAGCCTCATCCGCGGACTCCTGCTTACCACATTTCCTGGAACTGGAGCAAAGACAATTCTCAGGTGGGGAGAGGCAATGGGGTGTGTGGGTAGGACCTTGTTAGCTTGGATGATGTTTCCTCCCACTGTTGCCCCCCCCCCACAAGCACAAAGAATACAGAGAGCATCCCTTGCCCCAGACCGAGAGTTCCTACCTATACCTTGTGGCTCATAGGGGCCACCGATGGACCTCTGCTACCTGTGTTTATCCAATTCCCTCTTGAAGCCGCCCATGCTTGTAGCCGCCGCCACCTCCTGTGGCCGTGAATTCCACGTGTTAATCACTCTTTGGGTGAAGGACTTCCTTTTATTCAGTTACCTGGCCAAAGGAAGCTATTGCTGCATGGGTCAGGTGGGAGGCCAGCGCGGGGGGGGTATTTCCCCCCTCCCAGTATATTTTGCTGGAACTAGGATCCTTACGTAATTTTTGCATCATTTAATGTGTCGTGCTAAGACTTGTTTTGCTTCAGTTCTGCTTTTTGACTTCTGGCTGGTCCGACAGCCCTCCTTCCTGTTGCATTATCCACTAAATGCCCCCTCCTGTCGACTGATTGCACCAACTCAGCCTCTGTAATCCGCCTGGAGAAAGGTGGACTGTACCTGACATTAAGTAGAAAATAAAGAATAAAATGAGATTTAAAAGTTCTGTGTGCAGTGAGTCCCTGAGGCCAAGGGCGTGACGCCTTCCCAGCCAGGTGACTTGTGCTCTCCAGAACTTGTTCTCTCACGAAGCATCAGATGTAAACTCTGCCCCCCTTGACGTGCACTCAGCCTCACCCGCCGCCGTGTAGGATGGCCAGACAGACCAATTTCTTCGTAATGTTGTGGGTGCCAAGCTGGCCTGTTTACCAAACCTGAGCTTGTTTTCTGCCATGCGCCCCTGGCGTTTGTGGGCAAACAGTCTTCGCGGCCACCCTCCTGGGCTGGCGTGTGGGCACCCTCCCCTGCACGTGGCCCAGTCAGGCATCCCGTTGTTGTGATCACAGCGCCAGGGGCTTGCATGAAAGCAGAGGTGACCTCTGATCCCCGCAGGACACCAGGTGTGTGTGTGTGTGTGGGGGGGCTTTTCACACCACAGCCCTGTCAAATGGAGAACAGGTAGGGAAGCTTTAGTAGGGATTTGATAGATCAATGGGGTTTTTTTTGGGATATTCCTGCTCTTTGGACCCCCCCCCCCGAGTTACGTGAGCCACATTCAAATGGATTGTGGGAATGGTGTGATTGTACTGTGGTGTGGTTGTAATGTAAGAGGCCAAAGGAATTTCAGGCACAGGTATATGGAGGGGGACCAAGAGGCTGAGAAAGCAAAGGAAT